AGTTTGCAAGGTGTGGCACGAGTATCGTCGATTTCGTGTTCTTCGTCATTGTCGACGAGAGGAGAATGGGTTTGTCACGCAACTGTTTCTCAAAGTTGCGGAACGCATGCTTTCCTTGAGCCATCTTCATGGTGAAGGAATAGGTTGAGGGTAGCTGAAAGCTATTGTGTTTGTTAACAAAATGCACTACGCTAAAAGCTAGTGTAAAGATCTTCGAGTGTTGAGTTTGAGAGAATGAAAGTTATGAGAGAGATTAGAAGGCTATGAAAACTAATCAACGAGAGAGATCATCATCAAAGGATCGTAGATCTGGCTTCCCGCGGAGACTATAAAGTGTGATAGAGTAGTTTGTGGTAGTAATCCTACGTCTCTCACGATCCTAAACGGAACGCGTGGAAGGTTTGTCTAGCCTGGATCTAGTAGCGTGGAAGTACTCCACGCTGGCTAAATATCTAGAGCGATGTTTCATCATCAACCTAGTATGACTAGCGCGGTCATTGAGAACCCTGTCTCAAATGACTATTCCGAGAGACTCAGTCATGATCCATGAGTCGAACTCAAACCCTATCTAGGATCGAGTCGCGAATAAGGCTAAGAGCCGTGTATTGCAGGAGGAGTTCCTGGAACCAACTGATGCCTTGCCTCATGCTGAGGAAGATTTCCAAGAAGCCTGGACTAGAACTATTCAGCGTAAAGGAACAACAAAGCTGCCCAAAAAGCCATGGATGAATACTCATTGCATGAAATTGAACAGCAATCAGACACATGTTTGTGTGTATAAACGATACTACAAAACAGGCTACCCTATCAAATACGCCATGATGCGAGGCACAAACATGCCTCGCAAACAAAACAAGTTTGATGCTGTTGACTCAATTTGTCGAACTCCAGACTGCATCATTCCTGATCATCACCGCTGGCTCCTACAAAGTGAGAAGGTTTCCAGGCAGTGCTGTGGTAGAAGCTTAGGGTGCCCAACATGTCATATTGAAATCCCACTGCCATCTTGTTCTCATACTCCTCCTTGTCAGTGGAGAGTTATTTCCACAGATGGCTGCACCAATTGCAAGGAGGCTGAAAATCAAGATGAAACTGAACAAGAGGCTTTTGCATGCACCGGCACAGCATCATCATCAACAAAGCAGCCAACTAGCAAGAGAACTTCTCAGCACGTGGCAGCTACTACCGCTTCTGCCTCTATGACACCCTCAGAACAAAAGGAAAAACAAAAGAAAAAGGGATGGGAGGTTGGCAAATCCTCACAGAAAAAAGTCAATATCCGCAAACAGTCTAAATCTTCCACAAGTGACCACACACACAAGAAACAACATGTTAGTGGTACCATTTGCCATTATTTGGATACCAATACCCTGCCTCATGCTAAGAAAAAATTCCGCAATATCTGGGTTGGGGTTATTCAACGCAATGGAACAGTGAAGCTTCCAAAAAGACAATGGATGAAGACTCATTGCATGAAATTGAACAGCAACATTAGATATGTCAATGTGCCCGGTCCTGGGCGGAGCCGGCCTCTTGCCTCAGTCATGATGCGTGGAACCAACGTTCCTCCCAAAGAAAGGAGAAAGGATGCAGTCGACTCAATTTGTCGAACTTTGGGCTGTATTGTGCCTGATCATCATCGGTGGCTCCTCAAAAGTGAGAAGCTTTCCAGGGCAAGCTGCGGTGGCAGCTTGATGTGCTCCACCTGTCACCTTGAGATATCATTTCCGTGTCCTCATGACCCTCCTTGTGAGTGGAGAGTTGTTTCCACAGAAAACTGCTCTGCTTGCAGGAACCAAGAGTAAAGGTGTAATATGGTCTGGAAAAGGAGAGGTGGTACAGCCAGTTGCATCACCCAACTCCACAGTAAATTAGCACAGAGCGAATACATTGACTTGAGCCATGAATGGATTAGCAAAAGTTGAGTCTCTCTATCTAGCTTGGTTGGTTGGAAGCAATGGTGGCTGTGAGGAGCGAAAATGTTTGCTCTAGTTACTGGTAGCTTGAGCCCAGCCCTGGCCACGTCGAGAATGAAGCAGCCTTGAGGGCTTGCTGTGGGCGATCTTTGGATCTTCGGCCATGCACCATTCCTGCGTTTGTTGCGTGTTGCTGTTGCTTCTTTGCTTTTGGTCGCTGTGTTACAGCTGTACTAAGACACTCATTGGGGGTCAGTTGAATTTGGTGCCATAATTTGGTGCCGGTGCAGTGCTCCTGCACCGCCCTTGCACCGCACTGCTCCTGCACCGCCCTTGCACCGCACTGCACCAAAATCAAGGGGAACTTCAACTAGCGTAACTAGAGTAACTGACGTAACTAACGTAACTAGCGTAACTGATGTAACTGACGTGCAACTGACGTGGCCATTGGACAACTAACGGGGTCGTCATTTCAACTAGCTTTGTGTTGTAAACAACTCTACAGAGACAACAAAGCAACAACAACAATGTTTACAATGGGTTAAACTTAGTTTTCAAGCTTTTGCAGCTCTTGAATCACTGCAGCAGCATCCGGCTCCCCCCACCTCTTTTCCAGTAGCTGAGCTCTGTGAGAAGGATCCAACTCTGCCAAGCAAGATGGCAAAGCATGATACTGCCACTTTGCATCATAGTTGTGGCTGGTCTGCTCCCTGAACTTGTGCCTGAACCTGGGTTGATCTGGAAATATCTGTTGGACACAGCCTCTGCATTTGGGCTTCTGCCCTGCCTTCCGGTTGACAAAGGGTCTAAAAGACCATCCATCTGTAATGCGATCGGATTGCTGTCTTGATGGGACTGCTGGAGTAGCTCTTGAGTTTTTGGGTGTGGCAACTTTGGGTGTGCGCTTCTGCTTGGTAGATGACAGAGCTTGTAGCCTTGTAGAAATTTGGAATGGAGTCATTGAAGATGACACAGTAGTTGTTGGAATGATTGAAAATGAAAGAGTAGTTTTTCTTTTCTTTGATGCTGTTGTAGGAGAGGTGGGAGTGTTTACAATGGTGGCCTCAATGGTGGCCTCACTGCCACTGTCTTCATCACTACTAGGAACAACTTCATCAGCACCAGCATCTTCAACACTTGAATCATCTTGGGCACTTGCATCATCTTTGACACTTGCACCATCTTTGACACTTGCATCCTCTCCAACACTTGAATCATCTTGGGTACGTGCACCATCTTGGACACTTGCATCATCTTGGGCACTTGCACCATCTTTGACACTTGCACCATCTTTGACATTTGCATCAGCTTGGACACTTCCATCAGCTTGGGCAACTTCTCCATTGCTACTGTCATCAGGGATGTTACATTGTTGGATAGAGTACTTTCCATAGACACAATTGCATGTCATCACCCTGTCAATATTGCAGCTAATGTTTCCATACCATGACTTGAGGCTGGGATCATCAATGAGCTCATAAAAGATCATGGAAATGCACATGCCACACATAGCTTCTTCCCAGTGGTCCAGAGGATAGTATTTGATCTTGCTATATGTAGGAAACATTCTATCTTCCACCATCAAACCGAAAGGGAAGAAAGCAACTGAAATGAAGTGACCTCCATTTCCAAGAATGCATCCACGAAGCACCAATGTTTTCTGGTGGCTTTTCCAATAGACTTTGCGGGGCAACTGGATCAACTTGATGCTGTCTTCTTGCCTCATTCCAGCAAACCCACAATCAAAGACCACAAATGCAGGGTACTTGGTCACCTTTGCTGTCACTATGCACTTTCCAGCACAGTGATATTGTTTTGGGACATTCTCATCTGCTGTAGTGTCATTGTCGACATCAACAGAGATGGATGGGTTGGTTGAATCACAATCCATTTGGTGCTCTGTGAAGTGTGAGTCAAGCAGGTTTTCCAGAATCTTGTCACTGATATGGTGTTGTGTTGTAGACAAGCTTTGTAGTACTTCTCAATTTGCCATCCTTTCTCTGCACTGGGACTGGGCTGCGAGAACCTCCAAGGGCAGCTCTTCGAGTGCATTGATCACCACTTGAACAAGTTTCCATCTCAGTGTATTGGAATTGGAATGACTCCAGCAATGGGGTTACTTTGGTCATTCTATCATAGTCAGCATCATTCAGTAGTGCATCAAGGGATGAAAAGAGATTGATCTTTCCAGAGATGGTAACTGGTAGGTGCTTTGCATTGTAGACCTCACTGACAATCATCCTCCTGATAACATCGGTGGCAGTTGGAGTCCCCAAATCAGATGCCAGTTTGAATGTTCTTGACACCAAAGACTGCGGATCCTTCAACTCTGGAAGTGGTTTTAGATTGACTTCACAGATGGACAGCTTCACAAACAATCCCCAAAGGGAATCAAGTGGGCAGGTGTTAGTGAAACCTCCAGTACCCCAACCAAAGCCACAGTAGAAATCACATTCACCCAAGGTACCAGCCAAATGATACAGCCTTTGAATCTCTTCCTTTGTTGGACCAGTCACAACCACAGATGATGCATTCTTAGCTCTCTTGGACTTACTACCCGACCGACCTGTAGAAGATCTTTTGGACTTGCTACCCAACAGAGCTGTTGAAGTGTCAGGAGCACGCCCATCATTCTTATGTCTTCTCTTCTTAGGTGTAGATGCTTTGGGTCTTGGGAACATGTTGTACTTGGAAGACATACCAGATTCAACAAGCCTTCGATTGGATTCCAACATGGTGACAAATCTGTATGACTGTAGGACTGCCTCATTGATGCCCAATTTTGCATTTGGTCTGTGTTTCATGTTCTGCCATTGCTTGCCCAAACTCTCTTGAGCATTGGTGTTGTTGGTAATTCGGCCAAACCTCTCCTCTTGGTCAGGTGACAGGGATCGACAAGCTGGAAAGGTAGAAGGGGCACGATGAACATGGAGATACCAGAGAAGGAATGGTTTTAGCTCTGGAAACCTCAAAAGGAACTTTGTAACCACCTTTTCGAACTGATCAAATTGACCAGGTTTGAGCTCCTGCATGGAAGTAATCAAGCTATCAAAGTGACCCTCTTCACCAGGTGGAACCAGAGCTTTGTTCCTGCGAACACGCACCACTGCACGAAGAAAGTGGACATTGCAATATTTGTAGAACGAGTGCACTTCATGGTCAGCCAATTGCTTGGAAAATTTGTTGAGAGCATATCTCTTGAGTGAAGCACTGAAGGCAGCTCTTTGGGCAGCTGAGAAATCAGCAGATGTTCCACATGCACTACGCTAAAAGCTAGTGTAAAGATCTTTCGAGTGTTTTGTGTTTGAGAGAATGAAAGTTATGAGAGAGATTAGAAAGCTACGAAAACTAATCCATGAGAGAGATCGTTGTGAAGCTCATTGAAGTTGGTCTCCCGCGGGAGGCCTCGAAGTGTGATATCGTAGGTTATGGCAATAACTCTACGTACTCCACGGTCCATTTCCGGAACACGTGGAAACTTCAGCTAGTAGCTGTCTAGTAGCGTGGAAGCTTTCCACGCCGGCTAAATATCTAGAGCGATGTTTCATCGACAACCTAGTATGACTAGCAGTCATGAGAACCCTGTCTCAATGACTATTCGCGAAGGACTACGTCATGAGTCGAACTCAAACCCTATCTAGGATCGAGTCGCGAATAAGGCTAAGAGCCGTGTATTGCACACAGAAGACCTCTTCAACTCTTCCCAGGTATCACATTCGATGGATTGAAAGAGAACATCAAAGTGAACCTCGAAGTGCTTTGCAGTGCGATCAAGTGGAATGGACATAAGCACAGGAACCCATCTCTCAGCAACAAAGTCCAACTTGCTTGTCATATGCATCATGTTAATGTTTCCATAATATTCATTGTCAATGATCTCCCCCTCCACAGTGTCAGTCTGGCAAGCACTTGCTGATTGCATCAATACAGACTTCATGTATGGAGTCTGCATACAGATGATGGATTTTTCAGGATCCAAACTGGAATGAACAATGCATGGCTTTTTGATATCCTTGCAAAGCTGTGTCAGTGCTGCCCAGCTGGATTGAATGCCATCAGCTCCAGTCACTTTGATGAACTTGCGCCTAAGGTAGTTCACTCTATCGATATTGTTGAAAGTTGGATCCAACTCAGTGATTGGTTCCAAATTGCTGCCAACATGTCCATGTTTCAATTTAGCAGCTCCCACAGCAGGATGATTGGCCACAATCTCTTGTAGCTTTCTCATTGCCTCAGGGGTTGCTTTGGTGGTAACAGGCTTGGGATAATTGTGCTGTCCAAAGTGTTCCACAACAACCTTTCCAGATTTGTATGATGTCAAATTGATTCGGCATGACTCAGCTTTGTCATGCTTTCCAATTCTCCCAGTGCAGGCTATCCATTTAAGGTCACTATCAGGATGGTTGGGACACCTATATGGAAGCTTTGGGAATATAATCACTGAGATTCTTTTTGTTGTCATGAGAAGTGGGGCGGGCAACAAAGTTACAGCCATCATTCTGGCAGACATGGACTCCAATACATGCTCTGTAGACTTTCATTCCTCCATCTTTCAAGGTATGTTTATTGCAAACAATGGTAGCCCACCCAAGGAAGACAGAATCGTTACTGGTGCAATACATGACATTTCCTTGAGGCCAATGATGATCAATGGCATCAGAAGGATGAGACTCATTGTTGAGGATATCATCTTTGTTGGAAGAAGATGTCTTTGGTGGATTATCTGTTGGAGAGTTAGTTGGATGCTGGTTGTTCTTCCCATTGGAAGTACAGGGGGTAGGCATTTCAAAAGATGGAGTGGCAGCCCCACCACCTCCAGCAGGAGGAGCAGTGGCAGCACTAGGTTTCCAGCCAGAAAACAAAGTCTGCAAATTGTTGATGGTTCTCATAGTAATAGGGTTGGTGGGGACAGCTCCTGTCATCACCAAAGCAAGAACAAGGGTGGAATCCAAAATTTGCTGGTAAGCCATACCCAAAAGTTGGGCAAGGTTGTTGGGAATGTCAATGGCAGTAGGACTGGGAGGAACCATGGTGCCAGCATTATTGTCAGCAGCTTCCTTGGTAGAAGAGCAAACATTGGCATGAGCACCGGGCATTTCAGGAGTGGAAGGATCTCCAGTCTGGTATCCAGGAGTAGGTGGCTTGGGGATTTCTCCAAAAAGGAAGTGGTAGTCATCACCACCATAAGGCCACTTGCCATGGTCAGTAGGTTTGAGATCATTGGAAGCATCCATAGTTGCAAAAGATTGGGAAAACAAAGAAGGGCAGATTCAAAAGGTAGCAGAAGGACTCCAGAAATAATTCTAGAACCAGGCTGTAGAGCAAATTCAAAGGGTGTTTTTCACACTCTGATTTTGAATTTATGAGAGCCAGAAATGGTCTCTGGCATGGGTGGATGTGCCAGGACGAGCTATGGATGAATCTGGTCAAATCTGGTGGTTTCAGACTGGTTGTGTGGCTCCTGGCTGACACAGAGATGCTCAAGAGCATTTTTGGCAAGATTCCAAAGTTGCCAGTTAAACACTAAGCTGCAGAGCCAATAGCAGCAGTAGAAAACCAGGACTAGTTTAGATGCTGTTCTATAGTGGTTATAGTAAGTGGGTATGGTCAAGACTACCTTCAGAAGTTGGTATATGGTCAGCAAAGATGGCCAAGAAATTGGATGGTTTCAACATCATGCCTGATGAAAAAGTGAGAGAAATGAAGCTGAGAACGTGGAGTTTGGCTCAGTCATGCCTGTACATGGCTCTAAGTCTTATTTCGCTCACTGGTTACGCGGTGGATAGTTCACTAAGTCTTATTTCGCTCACTGGTTACGCGAGATAATAGCCACTAGGTCACCATTAAATCATTGAAGAACACTAGGTTGCCACACAAGAGCTCTCAGGACTTAACAACTTCAACTGACTTGGAAGGTGCCATTCTCCTGCAGGAGCACTGCACCAGAGAAATGGCACCAAATTCACGCGACTCTCCAAAATGCTCACTCAAGCTCAAACTGGACAAGGACAAGGGGGAGCTGCTGTTGTCATCAAGATTGAGACTGTCCAACGCCAGGGAATCTATGCTCCCCTCACTCGGGATGGCACCCTTGTGGTGGATGGCATTGCATCCTCTTGCTAAATTTCCCTCCAACCCAATGGAGATCCCAAAAATCACGGAACTACAAGGCCACACTGAGTCCATGTTCTCCCACCACCATGTTGCTCACATGCTCATGACTGTGCCTCATTTGGTTTGTATGGGTGGGATCAGCCCCAAATGGTGCCAGACATACAATAACAATGGTGTGGCCCATTTTGCGCAGATGGCGATTGCTTTGTCCGACTGGTTCCATGCCCAGCAGTGGGTGGTTCAGTTGTTCCTTTTGGTTGTCTACTTGGTTGTCTTGTGTCCCCTCTATGCCCTGGAGCTCTTGTTTGGTGCCAAGCTGGCTGCTGCCGTGCTTTTTGGTGGATTGGTCTTTGTGAGTTGTATGGGTGGAAATGATACTCCTGCTGTGGACCCAGTGGACTTGAAGAAAGAAGCTTCAAGAATGCACGACCTGCCTGTCTCAAAAGTTGTGCAATCTTGCTATAGTGGGAGACATTGATGGGCGAATAGAGAGATCCCAAACAGAACCATCCGTAGATAAAGCCGGATAATCCTCCAACCATGAGTAGCTGTCCCCTTGGAAGTTCCGCTGAAGCCATGCTCTCCTCCAAAACGATTGTTGTTTCTGTGGATGGCATGCTTGCCCCGCAAGCCAAGATTCTTTTACAACGTCTTGCTTCCGCGTCTGCCACCAAAACTCAGTTTTCATACTCTCAAATCATGTTCTTCATGCAGACCCGCATCTCTATGATTGCCCTTGTGAAAGCTACCCATTTATGTCTGGGTGGATCCCGCAAAGCCAAACAAATGCGAAGACCAGTTACATGTACATACAGATTCGTTTAGTCCGGAGGGAGTAGCTAGCTAGTAGATATGCATAGAGTGGTTGCGACATTGAAGATAAAAATTGCTATAGTCAAGTTAGCTTTCATGGAAACGGAAAATGAATGACACCATGATGGAGCCAGCGCCGTCGACAACTTGGCGACGTTTGTACAAAATGAATAGACAAGTGATCCCTGCTTACTCCAGCTAGCAGGACACCATGTGTAGGTAATCTCGCAACTCCTCACTGTCGTTTGCACCGAAGTGGGGAAGGGACTGCTTGAGCTGGTCGACACAGAGGTGGACAATGGTTTGCGCCCACTGGAATGCAATGTCCTTGATAAGAGGAGCATCTTCTGATGAGCCTTTGTTTCGTTCGGGGTGGTTCTCACTTTCCACAAGGTCGGAATAGAAACGGAGGTAAAGTGTTCCGTGGTGAGTTTCAATCTTCAACTTGTCTTGAATGACACAGTTCCACCGATCAGCGAGCAGAGAGCCATCAAACTCAGCGTCGCCGCCACGCTGCCAACACTCATGCGGTTGAACCAGCTTTGTTGCCTCCTCATCGACATCCACCTCCGTCGATCGAGTCGAACCGGTCACTCGAGCCGAACCTTCGACTTCTCGATCAACGTGCACAGCTGTAATGTCCTCCAGGTTCAAATGCCCAAGCACCCGACGAGTAGCCGTAACATCACAAAGACGAAGGCCTTTGCCACCTTTGGTCGCAACAAGAGCTTCGCGGCAAGCTCTTGACTTGGCCAAGTCAACCGTAGAGTCCTCGTTGACTAAAACGTACACCATTTCGTGTTTGGTCAAAATCACATCCACAGCGGTCCACTTCTTCAACAGTGGGTGATACATTTTGTCACAACGCCTGATGCTTCGAATCACCCGAGCATTCGGGAATTCAAATGTGGTTGTGAGCTGCAGCTTTTCGAGTCGGTTTTGCTGCCGGTCAACCTCAAATTCAAGAGGAGCCATCGGAGCGGCAAGAGACGAATCACCAGACGGGAGCTTTCTCGGTTCGGCGAAGCGAACTTTCACCGGCGCACCCACCATTCCTGCTGCAATGATCTCCTGAGCTTCTGGAGCAAGAGTGCTGTATCGGAAGTCGTTGAGAGCGATTTGCTCTCGTTGGCGGCTCACACTGTCCTTGTCAACTTCGATCGTAGGAATGGACGAGATGGAATCCCTCTTCTTGCGACGCTCGATGACCTCAAGACCCAGCATGGCCTGAAGAACTTCTCCGCTGAATTCGCCGTACTTTTCAACAATATCTGGATGCTTTGCAATAGCAGCTTGCCATGCATCCGAAACTCCCATTGGCCCGTGACCGTGTCCGTGCCCGTGTCCGTGCCCGTGTCCATGATCATCATGTCCGTGGCCTTTGTGGTGATCTTCCGCTCCGAGATTAAGGAGCTTCGTGATCTTCGCGGCAAGTACGAACCGGAAGATTTGCAATCCAATCAATGCAGTCCAGGGCTCGATGCTCCCAAGACCACCGCTCAATCGGTAACCAAAGTCATCGCACTTGCAATCGAACGTTTCGTCTTTGCATGGTTTTGCCTCCTTGCCATACTGCAGGAAGCGACTGTCGTAATACATACTGTCGACTTCATCGTAAGCTCCGTTCTCAGCCTCGTCATATTCGTCTCCAGAGCAGCAACGTTCCATTTCTGACCACATAAGGAGGCCCAAGCACATTCCGACAATACCCAGGTTCAGACCGGCCGCAACGACGGCATTCCAATCGTCGCGCTTCCATTTACTCTTGCAAGAGAATGTGAAGAGAAGCAAAGCTGTAGTAACGAGAGCAGCAATGAGCCAGACTGCCTCCAAGAGGAAACTCCAATAGAGCGGCAAATCCCAAGAGAAGTCAGCCTCTGGAACAATACACTACAAAGAGAGAAGCAGTCAGTCAGTCTTAACGATGGGTGGCACGGTAGCATCCACGTGATTGAGGGGCAACTTACCTGCTTTTGAAGGAATCCTTCCACACGCATGGCCACGATGAAGAAAGTGACCATCGTTCCAGCGACCTGGCTCACCAAATGGAATGTACCGCCGGTAAAGAAATTGCATAGCCACTTGTGCAAGGAGAATGGTTCACGGTGTTCCTCTTCTTTATGTTGGCGATCAGCCGAGTGTGCGCTATCAACCTCACTCAATGCGACACTGCTATCGTCGTCATCCATCATCAAAGACTTTGACTTTGCAGATTTGAGCGAGGAAACGCCTGAACTGTTTTGTCGCATTCGGTTTACGGCAGAGCTGGCAGAGTTGGACTTGACACGTGAACCCCTTCGGCTAGACCGACCAGTCTCCTCTGGTTCGGAGACATCCACCATGGCTGCCATGGCAGCGACACCTCCAGACAACGACCGTCCTCTACCGGTGCCTCCGGACAGAGACCTTTGTCTTCCAGGGCCTCCTGAAAATGACTTTTTCCTTACACGCGCAGAAGGGTCGCTCGTGTCCATGTCTCCTTGAACCACGTTCCTCAGAGTTTGAGTATCCATCTTGACAAAGTCTGCCATCATGAGTGCTCTGCTTCGGTTCAAGTCCGTGTCTTGGGCGCTTCGCCTTCGCATCGCACTTTCCGTCATCTCATCGACACCTGCGGATTGAGACTTTTGACGTCTCGTCTCGGCTTCGGCAATGTCGTCCACATCAATTTCCATTTCCTCAATGGTAACTCGACGCATCAAGGCAACGCCATCGGACTTGGCCCTGCGACGAGACTCGGATCGCTTTTGACGTTTCATGGCAATGGCAGCTTCCTTGAGCGCGGCCGTGTCCATGGACACCAGGTCGCTTGCCGAAACAGCAGGACTCATGCCGGAGGACACATTGGTGAATGTTCCCACAGTTGCCGTATCGGTCGACGAGGGGGTACTATCCGAGTCCGTGTCCTTCTTGGGCTCGTTGTTGTTGTAGTTATTATTGTAAGTCATGGCGGCATGATCTTCATCTCCATATCCAAAGAAGCCACGACCATCGTCTTCGTCATCATGCTTTTGAGTACGGAATCGTTCCGCTTCCTTGAGTTTGAATGACGCCACGGTTTCGCGCAACAAGTGCTTGTCCACGAGCTGTCCCAAGTTGGTACAGAGCGTGTATCGAGGAACGACCCATGCCATTTGGTAGACAAACAGGATGTAGCAGACGGCCGAGCCCCACAAATACCAGTGTGGATTGGCAAAGTCATCCTTCTTCATGTCGTTCCAGTAGATAATGACAATGGAAAAGGCAATGGCATATCCAAACTGCATAAACTGAATAATGGTGATGACAACCTGTGGATCTCCCATGAAGAAGAGATTGCGTTGTTCCGTGGCCAGATCTTCGTCAGCATCCGAGTCTTCGCCGTCGTCCTGGAATGCCCACAGGTGCTTGGATTTCCTGTAGAATAGAATAACAACAGAAGAGAAGAAGAAGAGGCATCGAGTAAAAGAGGTGAGTGCTGCTGATCTGTCAAAAACAAGCACACCATCGTGTTGATTTGAACACAACTTACATGATCTTATTGAAAATCTGGAGCATACTCTTGTCGACGAGAAAGGCCACGACGACAAACAAGACCATGCCGACAAAGAATACCATGGAATAAAAGGTGGCGGAATCATTACCATCTCCGGTTCGATCGGCAATGAGCCCCGCGAGGTAGTACAATAGATTACAGAGCGCCGTCAACCACAACCAGGCAATGGGCGAAATGTGCACGAGGGAAATCATGACGGATTGTTCCGACCGCAACAAGTAGTCGGACACTTTGAGTTTGAGTGGCAACTTGTACGCTTGCAAAAAGTAAATGCGGAGTTCATGGAAACGGACTTGGAGGAGGAGTTCATTGTACTTGGCCTTGAGGCGAGGACGAAAGAGGGTGTTGCAGAGACTGTTGACCCATCCCGATCGTGGTGGTTGTCCGACTTCGTCTACCATTTCGGGTGGAATGCCATAGAGTTCTTCGTAGACCCGGTCGTATTCCTCTCGGATTTCGACGTAGTGATCGAGTTCGAGTTCTTCAGTGCGGACCCAGAGTTTGTTCGAGACATATTGAGTGGCATACGCTTGAATGACGGCTTGCAGGGCATTGAAGATATCCGTGTAAAAGAGTAAAAAGTGCACATCGGCAAAGACGGCTTTCTTGTCCTTGTCGTACTCGTAGTACTGTTGCATCACATAGACACCAAACTCGACAATACCCAGAACCGCCACTGTATGCATGAAAGAAGAAAGAAAGCAAACGAAACGTGGAGTTAGTTAGAACCTTGATCAAGACTTGTGTTCCAATTAAAGGAGATAGACATGCACTTACACTCTCGGTAGACGGCATCCAATACGGCCTGATAAAATGGTTTTCCAATAGCGGAATGATCAATGCGGTGCAAAATGAATTCGACGGCAATGACCAATCCTAGAGTCAGCACGGCGACACTCATGGCTCCGTAGAAAAAGTCCTTTCCATATTCCTTCTTCTTGTCGCCCTGGCCGTAGTCTTCATAGCCGTACGGGTCCGACGCGCCATAGGAATCTTTCGCACTGTCGTCGTAGCCGTAGGAGTCGGGGTAAGAGGAGGAGGAGGATCCGTAGTAGGCATCGCTGGCTGGACTGGAAGCGTAGTAGGAAGAGGAGTTGGAGGCAGAGTCGGTGTCCTTAAGGAGCGTTTCATTGACAATCTTGCTCACGGTTTCCACGGCGGCTCGAACCAAAGTGGAAGGGCTGGGAGCCGCGGTGTCCATAGGAATGGTTTCCGGGGTGGCATCCTCAAAGGGGATCACTTGAAACAGCGTTCCCATGGTTGACAATGTGACAAGAGGTTTCTTTCTGTGGTTGCCTGTTTGCTTTTTGTGTGCCTTCCGAATCACACACAAGCAACGAATAATATAATGCACAAGCCAAAAGATGATCGAGGCTGGACGAATAATGAAGAAAGCACTCGCTACTAGTAGTAGAGCTATTGCCAGATAGAAGGGGTCGTAGCTGTTCCCGTGATGACATAGTGCAACGTAGCATGGCACTGGGCGGCTTTTTGCGTTGTCAGTGGGTTTGCCGGTGTAACGTTTGCATTTCGGTGAATTTTTGGCAGGTGAGATCATGGTGACGTGGTCTTTTTGCCGGACCTATTGAAGAAACCCGGTATTCATTCGCTGTCACAATTCTCGATTTTGGAAGGACAAGAACGACCAAGAGTACCCCCGTCCGTAAATCTTCAACTCGTTGTTATCCCTCGATTCTCGCGTGGATTGAAGGAACAGTTAAAGTAATTGCATCGTGTGACTGACGGTTTCCTTCTGGAGGATGTTCTGTGACCTGTGACGCTTCTCCTTCCGAAGGCAAGTCAGCTGCGACTTGCACCTCTTACAAGAGCCAATGCACGTGGCAACAATCAAATCTAATCCGTTGGGGTCCTTTCATATCCCAGTCTCGTGGGTGATGGCTACTTATTACCAAAGCAATGACTTGATCCAACTGCAATTCACAAACTTTAGATAGGCAACGCATTGATTTTCAAAACCACAAATACTGCATCCGGGGTCGGGTATTCTACACGTAGCTAGCTACTCCATGTGACTGTGCTATCTATCTTTTAGATGGCAAGGATGCCTATCGTGCGTTTTTCATCCAGGCAGGATACTCACTGTGTGTTTTTGTTCTAGCTACCATACCGGTACCCACAGCTCGTCATCAGAACTTGCCGTCATGCCCAACCTGCCAAAACGCACCTATGCATACACGGTTGTCATGCATGTGGGTAAGGGCAGTACTGTATGATGGATCTTGGTTGGAGGCAAGATCCAAAACGAGGCCATCCAAACTGAGAAGGTAACCGAAGAAAAAGATCTTGCTATAGTTTGCACAGCCGTTGCTTTAGCAAGCTGTTTGTAGTTTCTATCTATAGATACGATACGATACGATAAGCTGAAATTGAGAGATGTTGTGCGTGCGCTTTAGTGCAAGGACAATCCTCCACTACTGGCCCACAGCAGGAACACGGTGGCCGCTCCCAATGCCAAATAGAGGGGATCATCGCCCGTAATGAGTGGTTCTGCCTGTTTTCGATATCCACCACCCTTGCCTTCTACCAACCGGTCTTCTTGTACATTGGCTGTCTTGATTTCTCCCAGAAACAGTGGTTCCAAAATTCGTACCAGTGGATTATTGTTGGCAGAAGAAGCTTCAAATTGCTCTCGTTTGCGACGACTCTCATAGTCTTCCAGGATTCCATCATTGCCACTGGGATTACTGGCACACGATTCCATGGCCATGACGCATTCGGCAATGCTGCCATCTCGTTCCATGACAGCTGCCAAGGCATCCAATGCCGCCAAGTGTCCCCGCAATTGCGACATGGTATATCCCAGTGCAAATCGAATGCGATTGTCGACGTCTCGTTGTGTCATTTCTTCTTCCGCATTTGCCACCAAGAGTTGTCTCAGTTGATTGAAATCGGCCAATCCTCCTTCGGCATTGCCAAATGCCAATATTTCGGCACAGACACCGGCGACACTAATGACGGCGAGTTTGTCCAATGTTGCATCGTCTAGAGTCCGGTAGGGCCAACTCTGTGTGGCGTCCATTTCCACGGAAGTAGTATCGATTTGCAAAAAGGCGGTATAGTTTGTCTTGCGTAGTTGTTCTTTGCGAAACACGGATTGTTGCTCCATACTGTCTTTTCCACGTCCTTCGGAACTGAAAAAGGCAGCGTCGTTGTTGGATTCCATGACAAAGCTGTCTTGCTGTTCCGGTGTATTAGTAGTTTTATCAAACCCCAATTGCTGTGCTCGATCGATTCCTCGCGTGGGATCATTCAATGGATAAAATGCCACGGCATTCTTGACGGCATTGGCTTGATAGGTTTGAATGGGAAATCCCAGCAAATGTCCCATGAGGGCATGTCCGGCTTCGTGTTGCACCATGCGTTGTCGATAATTGGGAAACACCAGTCGTTGTACATTGACCAAGGCGGCTTGTAACTTGTCGGGTGTCGCAATCCCATATCCCACCAATGCCAATGGCGCAAAGGAAAAGAGCCAAACGACGATAAAGCGAAGAATTTCGGGTCCCGGTAAATTTTGATTGGCGACCAATGCCGACAAGGTACTCGCCACCATGGTGCCCAGTACGGCCAAGGAAGCGCGATCGGCATCGCGATTGCCATTCAAATCGATAACGTCGAAAATGGAATATTTGGTGTTGCGAATTCGCGTCCGAATGGCCAAATCACCATCCGAAAGTCCTTTCGAGGAGGAATCGGGGGGAATGACAATGCTTTGGTACAGCACAGCATTCTTGTTGTTGTTGTCATTTAGTAGAGCTTGTTCCAAGACGCGCCGTGCCGTTGTGCCACTTTGGACATTGGCCAACGATCGTTCCAAGTCTTTTTGTAACAGTTGTAGATCCTGATCAGAGCGGGAAACAGTGGTCGTCTTTTCTTCCGTAGTAGTAGTCTTGGACGAGACCTGCAGTGCTACAGATGGGCGCCGTATTGTTGGGATTCTGGTGCTTCCAAGGGCGGCAGAAGGAGCGGAGAACAAGTGTCCAATGGGCGCATTGCTGCTTGTAGTGAAGAAGGCTGCTGCTGATGGCAGCAACAAGCAAATGCAAATGCACTGAAGCAACAGCACAGAATATAGCAGGGGTAGCCGAGCCATTGCTATCTAGTAGAGTCTATCTGTTTTCTTCTGTTTTCTTTCTCTTCATCACACAAGCAATGAGGAGGCGGAGCTCTCTCTCAGCTCAATTATTGTCTAAGAAAGAAAAAGGACGTCGTGGAAGGCTGAGTCAGATTTGAGAAGGTCGCACCTTTGCCTCATCTTCAGACGTGCTAAATTATGAAAAGATCGCACCTCTTTTTTTTTTAACAATTCATATGCCTCCTGGCTCGTCTCCGTTTCCATAAATCTTTTATTACCAACACCTAACTCGCTTTATTGAAACAGTACCGGTATTCGCGCGCTCCGCGCGCTCATCCCTTTCTCTGCTTCGCCCCGAAACGGATCCCTCATTCATGCAAAAAATGTGAAGAACGCAAGGCGACTTTCATGTGCATGTACATGCGTTGACTGTATCCCGTCAATACAATACTAGTCGAATACGTAGACTTCTACAGAGGCCTCTAAGTAATGCACGCGGGGTATAATTCAAACCTCCACTCCCCATAAGTACCCTTACCCCTAAAAGCAAATCGTCTCCGGGAGACGAAATTAGGGGGTTTTTCGTTTCGCATGGACGTTCCGATACCCAGGCCGAAGAAAACAAAGATGCCGAGACAGAGGAAGAGACGAAGAAGGCAACCGGCGCGGGCAAAGGAATGCAATCACTGAAGCAGAAGGCGTAGCGACTAGACTCGACTCTCACAACAAGCAACATGCCAGCAAGAATATCTAGATAGCTAGGCACTCCAAGGGACACATGGAAGACACAGAGCGGAACAGCCGGCTCCAACACGTATCCGAACGGCCGATAGTGGTTGATTCGATTCGACTCGGCAAGACGGGAAAATGGACCACCACGAAGTCTGCTGCTGCTGCTGCTGCCATCATTGAAGAGGATCGAATTGTTACAATGGAAAAAGCCATGGCAACAACGATACGTTACGATTGCTTGGCTGATCAAGAGCGACACGATGATGCGTCAATGATGCGCCAGCCAGCACTGGAAGACAGGACTTGAAACTACAGTACTAGGCAGACGAAGTAAGTAGACAACACTTACTTGTAACACTAAATCCAGCCAAGTCTACAGATGCAGAGAATCGAATCTGCCGAACTGTGAAAACGTGAAAACACCCACATCGGTAACACTGATTCGATTCGGTGGTGTGTTCCATCTGTACTGTACTTCCAGCCAATGTAGCCTAGCAAGGGGACAGCCAACCACAAGGAGAGGTCACCTTTGGTTCTTCTCAAAGAAGCAAGAAGTGCAAAGGCACCAAAGGCCACAAGGAAAATAACACAGATTCCACAGTAGCACAGAACAAACTACAGAACAAACGAATCATAAGGCAAGCTGAGAATTGCATTCCTCTGCAAATTTGGGAACACTTCTCTCAAGCACTGCTCCCGAACACTTCTCCTGGACCGTCCAACGGTTTTTGCTCAGGTTTAAAAACTGATCAAATCGTGGTTCTGGTTAAGGGAATGTTAAGGGAATGTTGAAGCTTTAAGGGAATGTTAAGGGAATGTTGAGGATTTAAGGAGATGTTTTAAGGGAATGTTTATTTTTAAGGGAATGTTTTTTTTTTAAGGGAATGTTCTATGGGGTTTACATGAAGGCTTAAAGGAATGTCTCGAAGCGTTAAGGGAATGTTATTA